TACTTGGAACCGCTGACTTTTTTAGCCTAAAAAGTATATCTGAGCAACCTTGTGCATTTTAGCAACTGCACAAGTATAATAAAAGGCATAATAAAAGGAGATGGACATGGTTAAATATGAGCAACACTACAGGGACACACTCAGTTTAACCACTAATGGCTTTATTCAGCCTTTACCGAAATGAAAATAAAAATTAAAAAACAATAAAAAGAATTTGCCTTAAATTTTGTATTTTAAATACTGATTCCTGACAAATAGCCATGCCTATTGGAAAAGTGAATTATTTTCAGATAATGTAATTACATACCTAATCGGATGGTATAAAATAAGAAATGATCAAAGAATGTTGTGTTTGTTAGCGCTGGTGCATACAAACAGCTCTACGCTGCTTTTTCATTAGGCTTTTAAGTCAATTAAGCAGTGAATTGGGACAATCATTCCTCTTTTCCACACTATTGATAATTTTTTTTTTCTGGCTGCTTAAGGGCCATTTCTCTACTCCAGGAGAGATTTATGTTAGATAATTCCTTCCTGATTAAAATAAATCAGGACTCCAAAATCCTCATTTCCTCCACTCAAGGCTAGCAGAAAAAAAAGGAATTAAAAAAATAGATTTAACCCTTTGTTTAAATGCATAATCTTAAATTATGCATTTCATTTTACCTTAGAGGCCTTCAATTTATAAGAAATATGTTTTAAATTAAAAAGTTCAGAATAACTTGTACTGGTAAGGAGAGTGAAATAAGCACAACTGAATTCAGTTGCCTACCTTCTAAAGGGGTTGTACCTTCTGAAGTCCTGGAGCACTTGATTATTTACAGTAACTGGTACAAAACACTCAAGTATTCCACAGCATTAATCAGAAGGAAGGTACATCATGACATTTAGAAACTCTGACTTTTGTATAACTCGTACAAAAGCATATAACACTAAATGAATCAAGATCAATCTGCCACCTTTAAAGAAATGCGGTTTTCATTTCAATATACTGATAATTAATTAAGTGCCACTTCTGTGCATTACACCAGATAAAGCTTGCAAGAGGGACTAAATCAATTGTTCCTTTGTATTGTCCAAAAATCAAACTTGATATATGAATCTTTCATATGTTCAGAAACACACCATCTTGACATACCCTACCTTGTAAGCCACTGTTGCTTTTTTACAAAAAGAACCCTTCCTCATTTAAAAAAGGTTTATTAGGGCCACTCAGCTTTCACTAATAAATATAATTATAACAATTTTATTAAGTAAAAAAATACTTAAACCGTCCTTATGTTATCCAGCAGAAGGGATTTGCATTCTGTATAATGGGACAACATACTGTGAACCATCCAATTACATTTGGATGTGATGCTCCAAGCAGGTAACACTACAGCACAAAACTGACTGGACAGACCAGCAACTGCACACTAGAGCATGTAGTATATGGAATATGGTGAATAACTGTACAGCAGACAAGACTGGAACCTCTGCAATTACACAATGTGAATCTCAGTTATATCTGCTGCTCTTTTACAGTTATAAAACAACTTATATATTATACTGTATAATATCCAGAACTACGGTGCAACAGATATCTATTTTTTTCTGCACGTTGTCTTAAACCATTTTATTGTAGTGCATAAGAAACACTATAATTGCAAATGGCCTTATCACAGCATTTGTACTAAAGATAAAATAAATAGCAGTGTGTGCTCCAAACCAACAAGGCTTTTCTGGCAGATTCCATGCTCCTCAATTACTCATGAGCAACAGATCGTGTGTTTCAGGAAACTCTTACTTCCTTGTTTATGCAGTGGATGAGCAAAAAGTACATTTCTCAGTTTCGCTTGCAGGATACATGTTTTCTGATAACCATGCTCCATACATCCTTCAGGGCACAGTCCTTGCAATCCCCAACACTATCTTTCCTGTATGCAGATATCACAGATAACTGACTGGGCATAGTTCCTACATTCAAATTTGACTGAAATCAGAACAACACACTGTTCCAAATTTTAACACTAGAAACCAAAGGATTGCTGCTAAGTTCTCTACCACTCAGCACTAAGATCCAAACAAGATGAAAGATACACACAGAGTGAAAATATTTATATAATCTGAAACTCCTCACACTGAATAAAGACCACATTTCTCTGTGCACAACAATTTTTCTCAAAGAACAGAGATGCATTGGACAGACTGCATATTAAAATTTTGACAGGCTTGTGCAACAGCAGATTTAACAAAGATCAGACATTGCAAGAAACTGAAATATTCCAGATGACCAATGTTGAGCAAAAATGACTGACTAAAGGTGACTGCCACAGGTTTGGCACAAGAGGTACAATACATATTTCAAAGCCAATGTTTAGAGACAAAAAGGTATCAAAATAAGAAAATTAATAAAAAATTAAATTAATATTTTGGTTTTACTAAAACATTTTTTACTAAAAGCTGGAACTTATCTGGTGATAGTAAATGTGGAGCATAATTTAAAATGGAGAAAAGTCTTTGTGTTAGATAGACATCATGTCCCCATACTTAATACAAAGCAGAGTGTTGCTTAAGTCCAATGGTATTGTGACAACAGCTGGCATCAAGCAAGATATTCAGAAAACACAGCCCTATCCTGGAAGCAGATACAAAGCTGTTTGGTACAAAGTGATCCACAATAATGACTCTTTATGTACTATTAACCTTTATTTAAAAGTTTAGGAGGAAGGAAAAAACACTGACCATCCATCACATCTCAAATGAGATTTTTATTTTTTATCTCTTGATTCTCCTTCACAAAGTGTAAAGCTAAAATTCTCTGACATCTTGCTAGTAACCACCAGTTTAGATATGTAATTAATTTACAACATATTTCTAGGAAAACACAAGTCTTTGGAGAGCTCTCAATTATGTAACAAACAACATCTTGGGAAATAAGATGTACTGTATATGTACACTTTCACCGTTCACAGCACTGTAGTGCTGTTTTAAATTATGAGGAAATCTTTTATTGACTAAAAGCACAGGCTTTAACTGCATAATTTTTAAAATGTTATTCAAAATATCTGTCTCTAGGTTTTGATGAGGACCAGTTAAAGAACCCCCTAAAACACTGTCAGCAATGCCAGACATATTCATTCTTAGGATTTCATTTACTTATTGTTTGATGGATGACTGTTGTAAGAAATTGTTCCTATTTTACTCAAAAGGATTTAAATTACTATAATTGCCAGCAAAAATATTGAAAGCTGGATTATAGCTCCTTTAGAGGCATAAAGCAGAAATAAACAGCTGTGAAATTCATTATTTAAACCGGAGGACTCAAGTCCCTGTAAAATGCCTAACAGCAACCAGAACATTTGTTAAACATGCCAAGATGGATTGTAGTATTGTCAGTGATGGTAAATTAGTCAAACTGGCAAGGGCTTTCTTTTATTATATTTTTGTTGGTTAAAATGCTTACGATTTGCTGTAATCTATAAGCATCCTGTAATTAATCAACTAATTCTCTCACAGCCCCAGGTTCCTTGTAATTAAAGTTCTGTAATAGCTTATTCTTTCTGCTCCAGCACCTGCATTTCATTTGTTTATTTTCCCAGAGTCATAAATCTGTGCGACTGTCAAAGTGCCATAATATTAGCGCAATAATCAAAGTTAATTAGCACTCCTTACTCCTACACTTCCCAATAACAATAGCTATTACAAAGAGCACTTTCCTTTACCCTCACAATAGTAGACACACGCAGGACTTACAGAAAAAGTGGAAGGCAAGACTCACAGTGTAAAATGAACTATTTTGGTGGAAAAATCTGGATAAGAACAACTATTTAGCTAGAAGCTAGAGTGGCAGCAAGAATCCACCAGTCCATCTCCAGCTGGTAACAAATTATCTTTGACAGTCATCATCCATGATGCCTCTGCCTGCCACCGAGCAAGAACCACTTAAAATGCATTTTTTTCTAAATTAAAAATTATAGTTCTGGCAACAACAATTAAGCAATTAAGAAAATTCAAGGAAAGTTTATAGAGGAAAAATACTGTTTGGCTATTCAAGTCATCGCAGGACTCCCCTCTAGACACACCTCTTAAGTCTCGTCCGAGCCCTGAATGTCTAGGAAATAGGGGGAAATGCTACATGTTTCGTGTCTGATGAGGTCTGAAGAAGGTAAAGAAATGAGCACATCCTAGAAATCAGCAATATTAATAACACAGAGGTTGACTTGTTCTTCCCCATGAAGGTCAATATTAAGTTGTCTGGGATATTACTCATCACTATATCCCTTCTGCCTCAAAACAGAGGTACGATATTGATTAGACAAGAGAGTGACAAGAGGATAGAAGAATAGACACATGGTCACAAACATCTGCTTCTTTCAGTTCTGCAGGACGCCGGTGCTACAGGTTACCATCATGTTTCCACAGCGCTGGGCCAATATGGCACAAGATGAAGGGCAGCTCTGTCCTAGCTCTGTTGACAGACTCAAACTCTCAAACTCTGTCTCAAACCATGGGGAATTCCATTCTGCCAACAGGCCAGGCCACCTCTCACAGCAGAACTCAAGGCTAACCAGGTTCCAAGGGAGTGACGTAACTTTCCATAACATCCTCAGTGCCACATGAACCCTTTTACAGTGGCAGAACTTCAATCAATCAATACTTTATGACCCTGACATAAAGGACTTGCTTTGGATATACGAAAGTCTCTAACAAGCAGACATTGCAAAGAAGAGGAAACATTCTGACATTTTCAAATCAGGCATAATACGTTAAATATATCTTATGTTAACACTTTAACATTATTATAAAATTAAGCATAGCAATAACTTAGTCTAGTAAAATTTACAGCCATCTTACATAAGTAGATTCGTAAGATGACTATAAACAAGATTGCTCCATACCAGCTTTGAACAGAAAATGCCAAAGTGCTTAAAATGCAGATTGTATAGAACAGGAAAGAAGGGCTGTATCCACACTGAATGATCATAACTTGCATAATAGTATTAGTTTCTGGTGAGACTCACCCACTCTCCCAAGATCGACTTTGCTGCTTCTGTGGCTCGAATATTGTTCCTGCAGGCCAGAATAACATGGGCTCCGTGGAGAGCAAAAGTCCTTGCCGTCTCAAAACCTTTAGCAAAATCAGAGAAGGGGCATGTTTTTAAGATGCATTTTCGGATATCTCAGCATTCACATTGTCCTGCTGTAAAACCAAAAAAGGTAATCATCAATTTCTGAAATACACTTCAATCAATGAAAAAGGTTATTTAATTAAATAGAACACAGTGTTAAACTAATGATGGCAGTTTCAAGGTAAAAAGGCATTTTGTTTTAATATTATAAACCTTAGCTAAAACATTTGTGATTTGTTTGTGATCAAGAATCGTATCACTTTTTTTTGCAAAAAAATTTAAACCACAATGCAGTGAGAAAAAATAGTAAAATGTTACTAGATGTTGTCTTTCTCTACAGGTTGGATCATGACTCAGGTCTTTGCTTCTGGATAAAGCAGTGTTTTATTGAGAATTATGCAATATTCTCTGGATACATATGGAGTTTGTTCAAGAACAAAATGACATATTGCCCATATTCTGACTTTATGCATTCAGCAATTTCAATACCATACTCCCTTGTTATATGAGCTTAATTTGTTCCTCAAAAAGTGTCCATAAAGTGAAGACTTGTATAGGGGTCCTTCTCACATTATAATCTCTTATTGGTAAGAAAACTCAAACATGATCCCTCAAACACCCAAACTTCACCTTAATATAGCACAGAATTGCACCTTATAAATGTATGTAAAAACATTCCTGGTTAATTATTTGAGTTATATGCTTAAAGCCATTTGCCAATGCATAAACCCTAGGTAGGAAAACATTACCAATCCTGCTCATTTATAGTACAGTGTAGTAGTTAGAAAATTCATAAATATTAAGTACCTGTACTATATGCCTTTAACATACACAAAGGCATGTTATTATAAAAAAGTTCAAATGCTATATGAGAAACCAGCTCGTAAGAGTGAAAATCTGACTGTCAAATGAAAGAATATGTACTTATCATTAAGCAATAAGCTAGATCACACAGAAGAGGACTTGAAATATTGTTGAAATTCCATCTTTAAATAAATCCCACAGCAGCTGGCTTGTTATCAACACTATTGACACAATCAAGTACAGGATTAATGTCACCTTAATTTAAATGCTAGATTTGTAAATAAACTATGTTTTGGGGCAGTTCACATTGAAAACAATCAATAAATGTTTTCTCCTGAAGCCCAATTTTGCTGAAATCAAAAAATATTTTCAAAGTTTACTTAACTTGTCTCTTCCTTTTCCAATGTTTATTATCTTCCTTCTCCAATTTTGCTGGATTCAGGAATCTTAATCAGTAAAAATCTTGTGGTTCTCCTCCGCTAAAGGAACCTTTAAAAATGTTATTGGTTTTGGACGTTATATTGGAGATCATATCAAAAGGGAATAATCCATACACAGATTTTGGAAACTTTATGTCTGATGGTATTTATCTCATTTTTTTGTTTCTGGGCCACAGCCTATTTATACATTTAAAATCGTGTTTCACTGTTTTATTTTTTACTCCACACCAGGTTATTCTCAATCTTTCACCCGAAATGTCAGGTACTGTACAACATTCATATTGCTTTAGCTTTCCATAATCATACATTTTCTTATCCCACAGATGACCTGAAGGAGCTATAGGACACCTTCCTCAGTTAGATAAATTACTCTCTATTCTTGCTCAGTCCTGTTTCTATTTTAAACCAAAGAGACCACAGAATGACACAAGTCAGCAATAGCTTTATGTAGTTCTGAAATGGTTACACCTGACCACTTGAACAGATTATAAATGAAGCCTGCACAGCTGTCAAAATAGCAAGGATTTGGTCTCCTTTTCCACTGCACTACAACTGAACCTAAGACTTAAAATGGAAAGGGTCACAGCATGCATATTACCAATGAAACAAAAAGAAACAGTTTCAAAGTATGGCTTACAAGTGGCACACATATGACCCTGGCGGACTCCAATGAAGCATAGTTAGAACTGTTTGTTTACTTGGTAAGGACTTTGTAGATCTCCTTTACCAAGTTTACCTTTTTTCTATACTTTGTTTTATTTCCCAGACCTAAGCAAAATGAAAGTTCAAGTTCATATCACACTGGTATGTGACTCCGGAAGCTATCAATATGCATATTGATTACAAGATTGAAATTAACAGCAACATGTAGAGATACTAAATGCTGATTTCATGATTGGGTTAGGTAGGTTACACATTTATGGATTTGAAAGGTAATCAAAAATTACAACTTTGATTAAAAACAATCAACAGTGCAGAGTGAGAGAGCATCAGGAATTTACTACAAAGTTCTTTTTTTTGTCTTATACAGTAGGTAGTGCAGGTGTTCTAAAATAAGCCTAAAATATACACATGAATTGACTAAATATTTACATGAAGAAGCTCTGAGACACTAAAAAAAGCCCTGACTGACAGTCGACATATATCACTGTGCATCTGGAAACCTACAGAGTCTGACACCAAGTAACTAAGACACAAGATGAGAGTTTGGCTTTGATAGCACGGATTAAATTTAACTTTAATTAGATTACGTTTAATCTGATTTTCATTAAAAAGAATTGTATGGCAAGTGCTAAAGTGTAAGATCCATTAAAACTCCAAATTGAAGTGGGATTTCAAGCACATTCTGACAAGTGAAGCATGGAATTAGATTATATGACACCTTATTAGGTGTAATGCAGAGAGTACACTTCTCCTTTGCATAAGAGATTATTTTTATAAGTGCCAAAAAACAAATAAAAATAGCACTCTTACAGGTGTTGGTATGAAGCAGCAAGCATCACATCTCACCTGTAGCCCGCTGTGCGGCCTACCTCTTTAATTTCCTGATATGATCAAACAAAAAACACCAAACAACAAATATGTTTGATTACAATTAAAGTTTAAAAAAAAAAGTTTAAAGATACCTTCATACATAAGATTTCGTTCCATGTATCAGCCGATTATGTGCTTCACCTACAAAATGCTGACAACATATTCCCTAAATGTTTGGATTATGTCAAGACTACAGTAACAGGGAGAAAAGTTTCAAATAAAAAAGGCTGCTGTAATGAAGTCACAGGTCTTGAGAGGATAAATTAATATGATTACATTCCCATTATACTGCTTCTTTAAGAAGATTTAAAAGAAAAAAAAGTGAAGAAAACAATAATAAGTATACTGCAGATTTAAAAGATCAAATTAAATTTAATGGACAATAGTAAGGCAAAGCAGATAAAATATCTCAACTGCTTAACAATATCAAATCTGCTGAGAGCATCTTCAGAGCCAGAAAAAAAGTATGGATTAATTCCCTTTGTCCCATTAGTTCTGGAATTATCCAAATTTATTTCAATTTGATATTGAACATTAGCACTTGTACTACAGCTAACTCTATCAATTTATTATTTCCTAATTTGGAAAAATACATCTGAATTTAAAAAAAAAGTAAAGTTACAGTACCGCTCATCCTCAGCCAGTGATTAGGAAGCAGATATTTGCTTCAGTACAGAAACCTGCTTCAACATCCAAATCACTGCACCTCAAGGTTTTTCATTTATCTGTTTTGTACAGATAAAACTAAAAGTCAGTAAATAAAATAAATACACTTTGGATATTTGTGAAACATTATGTCGTTTTCAAAGATTTTCCGATCCAATTGACAGGGAAACTCGAGGTACATCATCTCTAATAAAAATAAACTGTTTGTCAAACATACTTTCAACACCAAAATTTCTCTGCAAATTAAATCATTTTTTGAGCAGGCCTATCTCCCGGATATCAAACAATGTCTGTATCCTTTCAGCTCACTGGGCAACATTGAGGTTATCAAAGGGTTTAAACTTCCACCAATTCAGAAATCACATGTTTTTCAGCCAATATATTCTGTTCCAATAGTATGATACACTCCACAAATAAACATTAGGAGGGTTATTTATAGTTTTGGCTGAAAATTTATTTCAGCCAAGTATGACAGATTCTAACCATTTTTCCATACAATTCATATGTATGGAACTGTTGGGATGTTCATGTGTCAATGTTCATGCATGTAACTGAATGCTTGTTCTGGGGTACCCCTTGTATAGATTTTGTTCCAGCTTAGTTCATAATCACAAGTCAAATGATTTCAGTTTTCTATTTGAGTCATGTGTTTTATTTTTTACTCAGTCCTTAATAAACAGCTTGAAAGAGATTTGTACTGTATTGGGCAAACTGTATGTCTCAAACCTGTACCAATGTCTGAGTTTCAAACATTCCCTTATCAAGATGTGTTAGCTAAAATGCAACCAACTGGACCTCTGCCTGTGTTTGTTCACCATTAATTGATTGCATCATTAAAAGATTGTGACAGATCCTATTCTCAGCCTATTCAAAATTCATAGTAGCCACTAAAGTGAAGTCCAGAAGGCTCTACTTTATGCCTTTTTTAAGGTTTTAAAATAAAGAAAACATCACTCATGAATTATAAATTACCACAAACACTGTGCACATCCTTTATATACTAAATAAAAACCCTAATTACAACCATGTGAGAATGTGCAGGAACAACTTTCACTGCTGTAGTAATGTGGGGGTTTAATTTAATGTGATAATCAGAAACTGTAATAGTAAATTGTGAGAGTACTTGATGACTTTAAGGAACTAATAAGCATAATAATGTATAGTCAAAGGTATAACAAACAAACATAATATAATATATTTGTGAAATGATCTGCTGTGATACAAAATGCTAATCTCAAGGAGAACATTCACTCAGGGGTTACAAGAAGAAGAGTTAATAATTTCAGAGTTAAAATTAATCATTTATAATATGGTATGGTCTACCTCATAGGTTTATCAGTCTCATATAATTATCTCACATTTATACTCTCAGATAAAAGTAAAAATTATTTTACTACCGTGAATGAAACCTGAAACATGTTGGAATAATAGTGCGGCTCTCGAGAATTATAATGTGAGTAAAGAAGTTTTATACTCAAAGATCTGTTGGCCAAATGTCTTTGATGTGGTAAACTTGGCGCTAAAAAGAAGGAGTTGGCTGGACTAATCTGTTTTCT